CAGCGCCCATAGCGGATTTGAATATATAGTTCTGATAAGGAGGGAGGGAAAAAACCACTCGTCTGTCAAATTTCAATGAGTATTCAACCATAGACCAAAATTTATAAAATTTGTCAAATGGGTTCAAATTCAAATACTATCATTACTAAAATAAAATTTTATACAAGCTTATAAACCAGAAAATTTATTTTAAGGTTTGGCAATTGACAATCCATTTCATTCACTTGGGTCCGCCCATGGTTGCCTTGAAAGTGGAAGGAGGAAAATAAAGTGGGGTGAGTTGGTATGTAAGAAAGTGATTAAGAGCTTAAAATCCATATATATTCGGATTATCTTATAACAACTCGAGTTATTGAAGACATGTTTGATTATAACATGGTATTAATGTTTATTTGTTTTATAGGTCACGTGTTCAACTCCTTATGACCTCAAATATTTATCGTTATCTTAAAACATACGGTATGACGAGTCTGCACAAAATTCGAGTTTATGAGTTAGTTAGTTTTGATTTTTTGAGGCGTGTAATGAAGTGATGTGATATGGTAGGATGAGCGGGCTTTGGTGGGAACTTCACAAGCAAAGAGAGTCGAAGAGATCTCTCTAGAGTGAGTACCTCTTGCCCGCAATAATTTGATCGGTGAAGTGTGTTGGTGAAAAACTGCGTGCATGGATTCCAGTTAGTTAGATTACAGCAGTACGTGGCATATCTACCCCCCAGATTTGGGCGATAAGGGTAGCTAGGATTCGGCGACACCTTGCATTGCATTTTTAACCCACCACCAGTATTGTTTTCCCTAGCTACATACGTGTGACACCTTTTAATCTCCATCCAATCCATAACTGCTACCCACCGGCACCGGCAGTCCGGCACCGTCCGTAACAATAATACGATCTGGTGCCGACATTATCCACCCGGTCTTTCTTAAGATGGAAAAACAGTCGTATTCGTGGATGCTCGACCTAATATAGTAGGTTATAACTTGAATTCGAAAGATATTTACTGGTTAATTACGGATAAATATATAATAAATTCCAAACGCGGATATTGCGGGACGATTGGTATGTATGGTTTTCTCATTATCGAATTCGAGCCCGACAGCCTGCTCGTTATTTTTCACAACATGTTTGATATGATCACATTTTCATGAAATTGTATTATTTTAAGCTAATTCTTTTGTTCTAGTAATTTATTTGTGTAATGTTTTACTTATGTAATGTCAGTATGCATATGAAATTATCGACATGTTGGTCGCTGAAGTTACAAAGAAAAAAATTATTATCCATGGATAGCTGCGGATATCTGAAATTCGATTGGGTATGAGTAAGTTTTGATATTCTATTTCTACCCGACTCTTGTATGAACATGAATATGGATACGCACTATCCGACTCGTTGGCATCCTTATTCCCTCCTCTTATGGCTTGATTATTGTTGTTTATCAGCAAGTACGCACTTCGTACGTCTTAATTGTGTGTGTGACTTCCAACTTCCAATCAAGCATATGATTTAGCATCATGGCATGTTCTTCTTCATAGACTACGGTATTAGTACTTAATTAACAATTAATATAAACTGGCCTGAACCCTATATTCTATTATGTACAAGCAGCAGTTACGTAAGTACTGCTATACATGACTTCTCTCTCATAAACTTATTTATAATCAGTGTTTATACAAAACCGTTGACAACTATTAGTTTTACGAATTTTTGTTTGTGTGTGTATGTCGCTAGAATACTATAAGAGTAACATGGCTACTAGATGCTCCTCCCATCCCATGTGTTCTAGTTTCGAATTTCTGTGGGTACGTTTTTTTATCATTATTTTCCTATGGATTAATGAGTCTAGTTTAAGTATGCTAACTCTTAATTGAGTTGTTTAATAAGTAGTTTGACTTTATTAAGAAAATATAAATTATTTGATAATTGATTGATATGATAAGGCGTGGTGAGAAGGGAGATCGGTCCAAGGGCTTATGGCTTTGTGCATTTTTTATTATCAGAAGTTTTATTAATTAGATGAGTGTTAATTAGTAACATATTACTGGAACTCTAATATATATTGGTAATACAGCTACCTTTTGAAAGCAAAAGTAAATTTGATGTGGAGTAAAATTAAACACATCTATATTGGTCGTGCATTTCAGTTGCAAATTATAATGACGTGAATTTTTGCAATTTCAAAATCGATTGTATTAATGCGGCTTATCCTTTGCATATTTGCAAGTTTGCAACAAATGCAATTATGAATGAAAGTTAAAATAGCATAGACAATGAGAATTCTTTGTTTTCTTTTCTTTTTACTTTATTTTGTGATATTTCAAACACCATGTTTAACTCCATATATGTAATTAAAAGTAAATTATACATATGTAAGATATAATGACATTAAGACGAGTTGAATTACAAAAATGGTCAATGTAACACTATAAACAATTGTACAATTTTGCAAATTTTATTGACGTATCATACAAAATTCCCCCTTTTTTTTTATTACCCAGAAACCTCAACCCCGTGCCACTTTGTGACAGCGGCGCCTACTAAACTTGGGGGCACCTGCAATCAATTCGATGCCAACAGCCTTATACCTCTGATAACACCAACGGGCCTCACTTGGATTCGAACCTGAGATCTGCAACTTTCAAACCTTCACTATCACGACAACTTTACCGCCGGCCTATCTTACTTTTGGTATACAATTTTTTTTTTAACTAGTTGATAATAACTAATTGGCAAAAGGAAAAGTCCATCTCTAAAGACCAAATGGGTAAAGCAAAGACCCAACTAACTAACTAACCGTACGGCTAACACACGGCGGAATACGGGGGCCGGTGAATGCGCCGGGCTCCACCGCCATTACTGCATGCAAGTGCAACGCAAAGAAAAGAAGAATCCACTTCTCACTTCTCACTTCTCTTCTCTCCCTCACTGCAAAGTCGTTCCAATTTAATTTTTTTTATTGTTTCCCTTCTGCCCTCTTTTTTCTTTGGTTGATTTGCTTTGCTCGTGAAAATTTCCAATTTCGCGGGTAACATGGTCGGGTCGGGCTAGTGGTTCTGGTTCCCACCTGCAAATAAATAAACTAGTTATGGAGGCAACTGAACTGATTATAAAAAGATTTTCTGTTAACACTACTTTTCCTCTCTAATTCAAAATTTTTCCACTGTATCCACTCCCACTCAATTGTAACAAAATTGACGAAGAAGAAAGGGATTTCCAAATCATACAAACCCCATCACTAAACTAAAGTATCATGTGCTCATAGAGAGTAATACACACCCTTAATCATCTAAAAAATAGTTGCGACTTTACTTGGCAAGTTTTCGCCAACTTAATCTCTATGTTAATCACAGGAAAATAATACATACGACAAAATTAACCATGATATAATCTCGGTATATCTCAAATGCATAAATCAATATGAATTCTAAGAGACCAAAACTTAATTATTAAGCACATACTTAAACCTCACATCCGGTCAACTTTATTTCCCATGCCAGGGATAAAATTCCAAAAGACAAAAAGTACTATTTCATAGTTTTCAAGCCAAAGAACCAAAGCGTGAAACTGTTCAGAAAATCGACTTTCAGTACCAAAAAAAAGTACCTAATGGAAGAATATGGTCAGTGGATAATGGCCAGAATCACTGCTCAATAGTAGACTCTTTTTTTCTACATTACTATTGACCAGTCTAGCTTTACATCCAGCCACATTCACATTAGGCTTCAAATTTAATGAGAATGAAGATAAAGCTTGAAAAGTGGCCATCCTGTATCTAGACTAATTATTCAAGAATAATTTGGTTTAGTCTTGCTTTTCAAATTAACTTTAGTTTAAAAGTATTTATCAAAATTGCACAAGATTTATACATAGTTCTCTTACAATCGATCAGATGAGTCAAACTGGTTCTCCGCAGATGTGAAAGGCCAAACCATAGCTGGGAGGGTTCCCCTCCAATCCATCCTTATCGGATCAGGATTCTTGGTCCCGAGTCGTCGCCTTATCTCTCTACAAAGCTTGGCTTGGTTGCGTTCTCTCCAGGCATTTCCCAAGTAACAAAAGTGATCGATCTCATGCTTGCTTGCACATAAAACCAAAGCAGTACTACTGAACTGGTATAAATGTTACTCCATCCACTTGGCCCACTCACTTCAAAGAAAGAATAACTCCTTCAATTGGTCAAAATGTTACTCCATCCATCCATACAAAAATCAAATGGCTACCCCTCAAGTTGAAGCCCAGCCCACCACCACCTTTCACTTGTCCACAAATTTCAAGGGAGGGGAAATCGAAAGAACAAAAATAGTAAAAAAGAAGGGCAGAAAATCTGGAAAAAAGAAGTCATCCCTAAAAAGGGAGAGACTGCATTGCAGTTTGCAGATGCAGGGACAATTTCATTAAAAGTGATTGCAATTAGTAGCACTACTTGCGAGCGAAGCAAGGTTTCTCATCTCCTCTGGTCCTCCCCCAACCAACCTTAAAAGCAGGATAAGACCACAACCGATCGATGGTGTTTGTCATATTGTATACATGATACGGATTAAATCATGTATCACAGACAAAAAAAAATTGATTTAGTCATAATATCATAACAATACTATTATTATAGAACATCATCATCAGTAATCGAGGTGTTTAAGGTGTTGGCCTCGTTCGATTTTTTACCTTTCTCCGCGCGACCTAAGATCGAATTAGTCAACCATGAACCCCAAAAGGTTGACCCTTGACCGAGGTTGAAGTACTACGTATAATTACAATCATTATCCTTGGCAATCAACTGGTTGGTTACAGCTTTCTTTTTAAATATATGCATGATAATGAATTGGTAACAGCTGAGGAAGGGAAGAGTGCGTAATGTTGAAAAAAGGAAGGAGGAAATTTAGTAAAGAGAGCATCAATTGCGGGGAGATAATTGCGTCGTCTCGTTTCCCCTTCTTTCCCTTTTTCATGTGTCTGTCTGTCCTTCTTTTCTTTCTTTTGTTCGCATTTACTTTCCTTCCACTCAGCCGCTTCTCCATAAATACCCTTCTTCCAATCCTTCCCCTCCACCTCAAACCAAAACCAAAACCCTCCCAACTTCCTCGTCTTAACCATACAATAGCCGAAGCAGAGCACAGCAGCAGCTTCTAAAGAGTAACTGGTGAAAACAAAAAGGCAGAGGACCATGAGAATGAGGCCTGCTGTTGCTGCTCTTTCCACTCTGCTTTCATCTCTGCTCTTCCTTCTAATCAATGTGGACGCCAGAGTCCCAGGAAACTACGGCGGCGGCGCCTGGGAGTCCGCCCACGCCACTTTCTACGGCGGCTCTGACGCCTCCGGCACCATGGGTACTTAACCAGAAAACATTCCCTCCCCTGTTTTTCAAATGCTCTGTTTTTTTTCTTCTAATGCTCTGTTTTTTTCCCAACTAACCAACATTGGCTTTTTTTTGGCAGGCGGCGCGTGCGGGTACGGCAATCTGTACAGCCAAGGGTACGGGGTGAACACGGCGGCGCTGAGCACGGCGCTGTTCAACAACGGGCTGAGCTGCGGGGCCTGCTTCGAGCTCAAGTGCGCCAACGACCCGCGGTGGTGCCACCCGGGAAGCCCTTCCATCTTCATCACGGCGACCAACTTCTGCCCTCCCAATTTCGCCCAGGCCAGCGACAACGGCGGGTGGTGCAACCCTCCCCGCCCGCATTTCGACCTCGCCATGCCTATGTTCCTCAAGATGGCCGAGTACCGCGCCGGCATCGTCCCCGTCTCTTACCGTCGGTGAGTCCACATTGCTCTTCCCTCCAACACATTTATTCATCTCAATCGAATCAAACTCGTCCCCTTTTATTCCCATAGAATGTGAATCAAAAAGTATTTAGCAGATTGTGATTGTGTGTGTGTGGTACATTTTTTCTGACACCATCAGAAGGTTGACTTTGTGATTTCTGATTGTTTGTTTACTGGCCCTACAAATAACCAAATCTGCCATTTCTATAGTATCCTGAAAATCTGCCTACGAAACAAAAAATCAAAAGTACGGAGATCTTGCCATGAAACTAGACCACTACGGAGATGTGTGAACTAAAAAAAAGGGCAAAATTTTGTTGTTACAGGATTCCTTGCAGGAAGCAAGGAGGGATAAGGTTCACGATCAACGGGTTCAAGTACTTCAACCTGGTGCTGGTGACGAACGTGGCCGGAGCTGGGGACATAGTGAAGGTGTCGGTGAAAGGCTCGAAGACGGGATGGATGGGAATGAGCAGGAATTGGGGACAGAACTGGCAGTCCAACGCGGTTTTGGCCGGGCAGGCGCTCTCCTTCCGTGTCACCGGCAGCGACCGCCGCACCTCCACTTCGTGGAACATCGTGCCTTCGAACTGGCAGTTTGGGCAGACTTTCTCCGGCAAGAACTTCAGGGTCTGATGATCAATGACCACTAATGTTGTTTCTTCTTTCTCTTTGTCTTCTCTTTGGGATGCCTTTTTTCTCCTTTGTTTACGGCTTTTGTTTGTGTCGGGATTGGTAGGTATTGCTTTCTTGTTTTGGGGGGAAGTGTTGACTTTTAATTTTTAGGGGGTGTGTTTGAAAGTTTTTGTTTTTTAGTATGGGTAAAGGGGTGAAAGTAAAAGTATGGGGGGAAGGGGAAAAGGTGATAGAGTGGGTTGGGGAATTGTATTAGTATTGCTGAAGTGGCTGGCTTCACATTAACAAAGCTGAATGGATGTAGCCCGCAGCTTTTATACTAGATCATATTTATACAAAGTTAATGTTTCATGTCACAACTTGTGACAAAAAAATGTTGCTCGATTGTTACATGCATATTTTACTTGTCGCAATCCCAACTATTACTTACAGAGTTCTACCAAACATTCATTATCGCAATGTCGTCTATTTTTTTTAGAATCACAATCTCATCTATTATTCATATAATAAAATACTTTTCGATTACGTCAACATGATAGAGCCAATTTTCGTGGTTTTTGTAAGAATGTCCTTATATTGTTAGATTCACAAATTGTTGTATCCACATTTCATAACAGATGATCTAACCTTGTAACTTAACAATTCACTACAAAATTGGTGTAAATATTGATGCTTGTAATTTCGGTTCGCGGAAGAATGGGCGCATAATATTTTTGCACCACAATGCCACACATGTCAAATCAGTTTATCGAGTCATTAGAGATCGTTTATGGGAGATAGAAGTGACAAATTTATTGGATTTGATGATTGGATATAAGTCTCAATTAAACATTGGATCAAATATAATTTTTTTGAAAAGTTTAGATACTAAAATGTCATTATAATTTTAGCTACCAAAACATAATTTTTTTCAATAATACGATTTCATCTAAAAATGAGGATTTCAATAGATTGCATGCGAGGATTTTAATAGATGACATACATTCGTTGTTATGGATGACCTCTTGATGTTGGATTGAATAGATTGGATTAATTGAGTTTTTAGTGAATTTATTAGATTAAACCTCGTTACTCGGCTGGGAGACGACATGGATGGTTAATGGTTTGGCGTTCTACCATTGTATCTTGTGATTTAACAGAGTGTATTGAAAGGTTGTCGTGCCCTTTATGAAATGTCAGCCAAAAAATGCAGATGCTCAATAACTGTTTTATCACCAATGAAGGATCTTGGCAGATCAAGAGACTGTTGCACTGAATACAATTTGGGTATATAAAACCTGCTATCATGGACCTGTATACGAAGTTCCGAACCACCTATGAAACCAATCAATAATATCGCAAAAATATAGTCAACATAATAAAGTTCCCACTAGTACCTTCAAATGTAACAAATCGAACACATTGCATCTCTTGATTCATAGTAAAACCCATCCTCTGTCCAGTTTTCCGTCAAGGGTATTTAATCAGCAAAGCCAAATACAGATCATTGGAACTGAACTTGTACCCAAATATGTCGAATCCACTGGCGAACTATTCGTACCACCAACGACTACGACTTCACCTTACCCGACCCATCCATCAAGTATATAAATTGCCCTTACTACACTAAACAAAGTATCAAGTCACTTATCAGGGACCTGGGGCGCTGACATTATGCATTTCAACATTTGCGAGCAACTTTGGACATTTGTGAGCATAACAAGAGCAGAACTGAACGCTGCCGGGATGGGCTGGTTCATCACCTGGAGAAATGGATATCGGAAAGTTGTCCTCTGTAATCTGTATGGACTCAACAACAGCCATCAACATTACCCACAACAGAGAGAAAGATAACCAGAGACATGGTATTGACATTAAACTGATTTAAGGGACTGACCTAAATTGTCTTAAAACATTTTCAAAACAGAAACAAATGAATCATCAGAATATTGGATTAATCAGCAGCAACACATTTACAAGTGTCTCAGACGACCGTCGTGAGATATGTAATCCGTATTCATCAATTGATTCCACGATACTGTTCAACTACAATAACATTGGATAACCTGAAAGCAGCTTTGGTTTTCAAGGTAAGCTACGAAACACAGTTAAACATATCTTTCTGTTTCATTGATTACCCAGCAAAATCAAAGTTATTAGCAACAAATTCACCTTATGTGAGCCATTGCTCAAGTATATTGCCCTTCCAATTCCAATACTAACGACCATTGCTCATAGAGACATTATAACTGACTTAATGGACTGAGAAATGGTCTAACATTCTCATAAAAGAATCATCAGAATATTGGATTAATCAACAGCAACACCTTTACAAGTGTCTCAGACGACCGTCGTGAGATGTGTAATCCGTATTCATCACCTGACTCAAAGATATATTGTTCAATTGCCAAGAACATTGCAGAACGTGAATGGAAAACGCATAAGAAAAAAATGTGAGATGGAATCAGTAGACAAACGGGATCTAGGAACCCGCCACCTGTGGATACCATCCCTACGGTTGTCTGGCCGCTGCCCGATCACAGATCTTGTTCGCCATCCACAAGGGACAACGGCCCGAAAGCCTCCCTCTGGAGGAGAACAAGGAAAGAATCGAGCTTTCTATTTATGCATCGTTGTTAGCGCGAGAAACCAAAACTAGGTGCCCGAAGGCCGATTCCCCACAATAAAAGATAACAAATGCAATTTAAGATCCATTCTCAAAATTCCACATAAGATTTTCATCGAACACCTGGTGTGCATAAAAGAAAAAGAAAATCACAGAGCTCATATCAAGTGTATAGATTAAAGGACCGTCACAGAGGGAGAGGAAAAATTACATCCCAGAGCAAACTGAAGGGATAACGAACTGCAAAAGAGAAGGAAGGTGTCAAGGAAGAGACACCAAAAGCTTCATTCTTTTGACACCAAGGGTGGCGGCGCCTACTGCTCGTCTTGCCATCTCCGAGTTCCACCCTTGAAACTAAATTGAGATTTTCCCTCTCGTTTGAAACGGAAGATCCCCCCACTCAAGCCTCTCTCTTTTCAATCAGACAATCAATGCCTAAGAAACTGCTTGCCGGATTTAAATAACAAACGCGGAGAGTAGTAGTAGCAGTGGCACTGAGGAAACCCTAATCCCGGCCGGACGAAGAAAAAGGAGACTGTGTCTCGTATAGAGTTTAAATCTGCAGAAGTTTGGGCCGGTTGAATAAGGTTTCGTTTTGTAATTTTGGATAGGATTTATGGGCTCCATTTAAAAAGCCCATTTATCAAAAACTACAAAATATTCTACAAAATATAATATCTATTTTTTATCCAAATCTTTTTGAAATTCTTTTATATTATTTAAATCTATTAAAATTCTATTAATTATTCAAATATTTCATAATGCATCAAAATATTAGCCATTTTTAAGTTTTCGTTAATAATTTTGTAACTCTTTCCTTAGTTAAAATATTAAAATATTGAAATATTGACCTTCTTGAGTCTCTTCCAAGTCAATATTACTAATAATATGATAGAATTGGGGCGAACGGTTAGAGAAATTGAAGTTTTCACTAATTCAAAACTTTATAAAAGCTAAAATATGATGTAATATAAGAAAAATTATAAGTAATTTGACTAAGATTACATGTAATTTAGGCACGTACGGGTCGAGAATTGGGCGTTTCATAGCATGTCGGGTCGATGAGAATACCCATGCCCGGCCCGCCTACAAGGCGGGTCAGACCGTCCTAAAACAGGTCAAACAGGTGGGGGTAAATCGGGTGAAGTCAAAATTTCCAACCTTAATAATCTCAACAATCACAGATAAAAGCTTAAATATAACGATCACTCATTTTGAGTGATAGTTTCTGTCACATCATAGAAAAAATCCATGTATTATTTATGCTAAAAAATCTAAAATAAGATGCATTCTAAATAATACATGTATAGTAACAAGTAACAACATCACCAAAACAATCGCATCTTCCAAACTGCCTATAAATTATAAATATATATATAAAAAAATACAACTTTGAATAACTAACGGCCCTAAGGTGGAGCTGGTGTTGTGGGCCTTCATGGGCCTCCTAATGTCAAATATTAAACCATACGAGCTTGTTTAAATGGGCTTCCTTATCAGACATCTAGGCCCAATCCAACTAACAATCTTCAATCTTATTCTCGTGCATAACTAATTTCTCTTCTCGTCAATTGAGCATTTGAGCCTCACCTTCTTCAACCTCCAGTCTACCATCGCTCTGTTCAGTGTCCGAATCAGAAAAAGGAAGGGAAGAGGAAGAATCGCCAATTCGCCATAGCCAGCAGAGGTTAACCAGAATAGTAGAAAGCAGGGCCGCAGAATGTTCCCGCAATTCGGAGCAACGGCTGATACGCTGAGCAAGGCGTCGACGATCATGTTCCGGATCGGGACGGACGCGCACCTCTACGATGATCCTGAAGACGTTAACATTGCGCCATTGCTTGACAGCAAGTTTGACTCTGAGAAATGCGAAGCTCTCAAGCGCCTGCTGGCTCTCATTGCTCAGGGATTCGACGTTTCCAATTTCTTCCCCCAGGTTCGCAACCATTTACTTGCCGCATTGAATTACTGAAATTGAGTAGAACCTTCATGGTGATGGCTGCCGAGATTCCGCCAATCGGTAATGTAGAACTGGATTATGGCAGCTTGTAGCTGTTTCGCTTTCTATTCAAAACCAAGTGTGTTGAGTGTGAAGCAGTTCACAAATGACATATTCAATTTGGTTTCTTTGGCATCAGAGGTTACAGTACTTATGTCCCGTTTTCCCTTCTCCATTTAATCAAGGGAATTGCAGGTGGTTAAAAACGTGGCATCTCATTCGTTGGAAGTGAAGAAGCTGGTTTACTTGTATCTCCTCCATTATGCTCAAAAGTATGTCCAGGAGATAGATACAGAACATGCTTGTTGTTGGTTTCCTGTTGTTAACTGAAAGCAAGGGTTATTAGTTATTACTTAAAATTGGGTTATCAAGTTCATCCCAACTGCTGTTCGGGCAACTGAGGTTGATTTATGCGTTGATCCTTTGGTTTGTATCATTTCATTTTGCAGGCGTCCCAATGAAGCATTACTGTCGATAAATTCATTCCAGAAAGACTTGGGGGATACAAATCCATTAGTAAGGGCATGGGCTCTCCGTACTATGGCTGGAATTCGTTTACATGCCATCGCTCCTCTTGTTCTGGTTGCTGTCGGGAAGTGCGCTAGAGATCCCTCTGTGTATGTTAGAAAATGTGCAGCCAGTGCTCTTCCAAAATTGCATGATTTGCGTTTGCAGGAACACTCTTCCACCATTGAAGAGGTATTGATTAATCTGGGACTTGTCGTATTACATAGCTTTATGTCATGCAAAAATCTCTGGTTACTTAACATGGTTAAGTATTGATGGCTGCTTGACG